CTGAGCACCTAACCCGGGTCCTCTGCAAGAGCAGCTGTGCTCTAACCACTGAGCAGCCTCTCCAGCCCCAAGACTGTATTACTATAAAGAGAGGGAATCTAGAATAAGGCACTCCGCGGAGCTGAGCTTGGCTTTCCACCACAAAAACAATTCACATGGGTAAATTCAAATGCAGACATACACAACTGGCCCTTGACACCCATGCAGACAGATTCTGAAATCCGTAGATGATGAGGTCCTGATATAAAATTGCGTATTTGAATCCGAGATCCGTCAGGTCTAAGAAATACCAATCAAATGAGGATGCTATGTGAACCATTCTGTACTGTCACTTAGAGTATGATGACAAGAAAGGTCTGTACACATTCAGTCCGCATCAGTTTTCTGCAGGCTTAGTTGACTTAGGAATGTGAAACTATCTGTGGAGGACTAATTTTGTGTGCATGATAATGACTGGTTAACCCTGAGGCTGCCTACCCGAGGTGGGTCTCACTCCTGACCAAATGAGGGGAAAAGGTGCTCCCATCTCAGCACAAACTCAGATTTTGAAGCAGGCCACTGCAGCTGGTTCCCAACCTTCAAGCCAAGATGCGTGAGACCGTTGTCTAGACTCATCTCCCAAGATGGTCTGCTTCCCTTCAACCCCATGTGTTATGTGGGAGCCTCCCGCTTCCCTTCAACCCCATGTGTTATGTGGGAGCCTCCCGCTTCCCTTCAACCCCATGTGTTATGTGGGAGCCTCCCGCTTCCCTTCAACCCCATGTGTTATGTGGGAACCTCCCGCTTCCCTTCAACCCCATGTGTTATGTGGGAGCCTCCCGCTTCCCTTCAACCCCATGTGTTATGTGGGAGCCTCCCGCTTCCCTTCAACCCCATGTGTTATGTGGGAGCCTCCCGCTTCCCTTCAACCCCATGTGTCATGTGGGAACCTCCCGCTTCCCTTCAACCCCATGTGTCATGTGGGAACCTCCCGCTTCCCTTCAACCCCATGTGTCATGTGGGAACCTCCCGCTTCCCTTCAACCCCATGTGTCATGTGGGAACCTCCCGCTTCCCTTCAACCCCATGTGTCATGTGGGAACCTCCCGCTTCCCTTCAACCCCATGTGTCATGTGGGAACCTCCCGCTTCCCTTCAACCCCATGTGTCATGTGGGAACCTCCCGCTTCCCTTCAACCCCATGTGTCATGTGGGAACCTCCCGCTTCCCTTCAACCCCATGTGTCATGTGGGAACCTCCCGCTTCCCTTCAACCCCATGTGTCATGTGGGAACCTCCCGCTTCCCTTCAACCCCATGTGTTATGTGGGAACCTCCCGCTTCCCTTCAACCCCATGTGTTATGTGGGAACCTCCCGCTTCCCTTCAACCCCATGTGTTATGTGGGAGCCTCCCGCTTCCCTTCAACCCCATGTGTTATGTGGGAACCTCCCGCTTCAGTGCGGCAGGAGCTTCACCGAATGCCGTGACTGTGGGCGCCTCTTGTCCTGAGCTACAAAGCGAACCACTGCCTGGTTCTACCTTGCAAGGATTCAGCCTCTTACTCCAGCCTCTGCCCCTCCCATGACTTCCATCCTTTAGTGGAGCAGCACTTGCAGTGTGACGATGCCCTGGGAGACTGGATATCAAGTCACTTGGCAACTCCGGGGTTTCCATGACAGTTGATAAGGTGCAGTCCACTGTGATGGACTTCATTTGGCCACGGCCTCTTCAAAGAACCAGGAGCTCTATCTAGAATTCTTGATGGAGTAGCTTACAACACATGGGGGACAGAGCTTTGCCAACTAGGGGGCAGTGGGGTTACATGTGGCTTTGGTGGGCTGACCCAAACAGAATCCACCAGTGCCTTTTGCAGGCTTCCCAGCCAACTCCCAGCAGGCCCTTTAAGATCCCTCATCAAGGGAGTAAAGGTCCATCCCTTGGGTTCCAAAGGACCCAGGGAAATCAGTCCACATCCCTGCACAGTATGCTTGCTCACCCTCAGCTGGGGCCCTTCTGCCCTATGCAGAAACAAGCTTAAACAGTAACATAGGGCGGCATATTCTGATTTGTTCATGTCTCATTAGGGTCTCGGGTGGGTGCTGCTGCTCGGAAGGAGGGGGTCCAGTCATGCCAGGGGTGTAGATACAAAACAGCCTCTCCTAACCGCCAATGGAAGCGGTCCTCTTGGCAGCCAGCAGCAGCCCTGTAGAGCACAGGTGACCAGGCATCTGGGGTAGGGCAGTGTGCCGCAGGCTTTGTCGCCTACAAATCCCCTAACTGCACATTCCACCCTCGTGACTGACTTGATTTAGAACTTTGTCTCACAAGTTACCCAGCTCCAATGTAAAACTCCCTTAAGGAAATACAGCACCTCACTTGTGCACCAAGTGTCAGGCACATGGACCATTCCTTTGCTGTCTGTGGAAGCCTCCCTCTCCCAGAAATGTTCCCTATCCTTTGGTTATTTTGTGGCCTTCTACCCACTCCAAGCACTACCCTTCCCTTGAGGAAACTAGGTGGATGTGGGTACCAGCCTGACCTCCTGACATCAGCTTCCTCTACCCTCAAGTAACTGAGGTAACGTCAGAAGAGGGCGTGAATCACAGTTCACACAGCAAGTTCTTGAGAGTACCCTGCCTCACAGTGAGTCCCAAAGGGGAGTTAAGAGCGAGCTGAGCAGGTGCTGCCCCAGACCCATTGGGTCTTAAAGGCCCAATTAAACAACGTGCACAGTGGAAATACTGAGTAGTTAGCCGTTTGTGGGCTCACAACTGTGGAGTCAATCAGACACACAAAATAACCAAGGATCTGTACTGTACACTGCTGCCTCATCCCTAAATACAGGATGGATGCACATCACTGATGTTCTATTAATCACTAGAAGTAACCTAGAGATATCTGTGGGGTACCAGATGCCATACACACATGAAATCAAATACCCCATTTCAGGCCAGGAGCCAAGTGCCTGTAGGTTCTGGTACACGGGGGTCCTGGAACCAGTCCTCTCAGTGGACGTGGCAGAACCATGTATTCTTTACCAGCACTGGCCCCCATGTTTTACCATACATACCACGTGTAAGGCTCTTCGCCAGCTCTACTCTATCCGCACAGGATACCGTCGAGAAAACCCAAACGGTCAGACTGTCCTAGAACCTGGTTATCTTCCAGATAGGGAAGGCCCCAGGGAAATCAATTTCCCTTGCTTTCTGGAGGGTGGGTGCCGAGGTGGGGAGACAAAGTTCTGCTGTAGCTGGGGCCGGCATGCACCTCATAATACCTGCCTCAGCTTCCTGTGCAGCACCAGCTCTCCTAGCTGTTCTCACCTTGCAATCCTGCATGGTCCTTCTTAAATTGTTCTGCTCATTCCCACACCCCGTCCCACAAGAAACCAGCCCTTCAGGTTCCATTTATGCCCAACATGATCTTCAGCATATCCAACCTGAAGGCTGTGAGCCACAGCCCAACACAAAATGGTACTTATTTTACAATGTGAACAGGTTGGACACATTCGTATGGGCTGTTAGCATGCACTTTTAACCTTGGCCATGGTGTTAAGACTACATGGTATTCTGAAGCCCCACTGATGCAGAACCTGTCCAGTTCTCACCATGACTCAGCTCTATCTTCCATGACCCTTCCACCTCAATGAAGGGCCCACAAACGCCTGTCCTGTGATGGTGCAGTATGGAGTGTGCACCACCCTGAGGACCTGGGAGGGGATGTCACCTGAATACTCCACCAGGGGTAGAACTACTGGTCCTTGGGTCACTGTGCCCTAATCTGGCAAACTGACAGCTGACATGCAACTAGCAAAGGTGGGTGGTGGGATCCTGTCCCTGGGATTCTACCCTTTGGCTTCTGCGATGGATGGATGGTGCCCTCAGAAGTCAATGAAATCCCAGGGGTCTTTGGGAAGCAGTATAGTAAAAAGGAGCCTCACAATGGAACTAGTGCCCTATTAGGCACCCCTGTGCCTTGTGAGAACACAGCAAGGGTATCTGTGAGCCAGGAAGTAAACCTACCAGACACACTGCCACCAAACCTGATGCAGAAAATCAGCTCCCCAAAGGCACAACAGGACAAAGTTGGCCAGTGCAGGGAAGAGGGAGCCAGGGAGGGAGGAGCTGCTTTCTCTCCAGTGAGTAACTGGGGCACGATGTGGTCAGTCCTGGTGCTTAGGAGTTGAGGTCCAGACAGTGGGGAGGTTGTGGGAGTCTGCCCCTGTGCCAGCCACCTGGGATGCTGTTGGCAATGGTATGATGAGCTAGAGCCCACTGAGTGGCAAGCAGAGCCGGGGGCGCAAAGTCAGGTCTTTCTCAACACAGGACTGCTTTCACACATCCAGTACAGCGATCTGTGGAGTCACAGGGGCAGAAAGAGCCCTGGAGCATGTCTACCAGGGGTCAGGGGTGCTAACTAAAGCACTCTATACTAAAGCATTCTAAGGAGGTCATGTTGTTTTCCCAGGCCAAAACTGAGATCCCAGGGACAAACTTATCCCTGCTTCTGACCTACAACCAGACAGCTGGTCCCAGACTGCCTGTCTTCATCTGCTGTTCAAGAGCTTCACAAACCGATCAAGTTCCAACTTCAATTTCTGTCCCCCACGGAGGTCACTTGGCCACACTGGGGACTATTCTGTCACCTACAGCCCTGTTCTTGCCTTCCCATTTTGTCCTGGGACCCATGGAGAAACTGGGCTGACAGCCACTCTGTTACGTAAGTAAACTGGCCTACCATCCTCCAGCTAACCTCAGGTGCTGTCTGGGTACCTGGCCAGGCCTCAGCAGGACCCCATCAGGTAGGCTGGAGACCTTCACTCTGATGTCTTCTCTTGGTCACTCTCTAGCCACTATCCCATCCTGTTCCCTGGACACAACACCCACAGCCCAGGCTGTGTTCTGGGTGGAGTTCAACCTCTCCCCAACTGTCTCAGTGACAAAGTTCACAAGTATCAGAGGTAACTCTGGAGACTGACCAAGGGCAGCAAAAGCAGCTGTGCAGACAGACCTTAGGAGGGATGTGAAGCAGACAGGCTGGAGTAAACCACTTTATTCAGCACTGAGAACCCAGCCCACCCAGGAGTTGAGCTAGATTCAGTCACTACACCCAAGGCCAAGGCCTTCTAAGGACAGAAATGGTCATCCACTGTTGCATTATCCCCACAACAACATACTTGGGGAGCGAGACTCCTAAATAGGTCCACCTCTTCGACCCCTGACCTGCTTCTGTTCACTCTGCTGGGTTTGGTTTCCTGGACTAGATATCTATACACACTACGCTGCAGGCAACCATGCTACTGCTACGTCACAAGGTTTGTGAAATTCACCTACTGGAGGAAATATGAGGGGAGAAAAAGCCACAGGTAGAGCAAGGTGAAGCACCAGCCAACCTGGAGACCCACGGCCGGCCTGGAGACCTAGAGACGTTGCGCTTACCTCTCTTCTGCACAGAGGGTCCCTCTGATGAGAGAAGAAAGACATTCCAGGGATGGGAGGAAAAGAGAGGACAGAGCTACCAGGACGTGGTACAGCAAGACCCAAGGAGACACCCTCTAGAGGGCCCAAAATGCTCCAATTTCTCAAGAGTCAAGTCCAGCCATACCTCATGCATCTCCTTTCCCTGGCAGTAGCCCCAAATCTGACTGTAACTGGCATGCTGGGACCTTGCTGAGGGATCTCCTGCTGTGAGGGAACATCTGATGGACCAATCAAATCTTGGGCACCTTGGGAAGGTTCAGGGGCTGGTTCCCTTGATAACACAGCAACATCCCAACACTCCAAGTCCTGAGCCTCAGCTAGACAAGAACCAGGGCTTTGGAACCGTGCGATGCAGGTTCAGACAGGGCTGGGATGCACAGGGAAGGAGTCCCAGGACTAGTCTCTGGTAGGGACTGGTACAGCCCTGAGCATTCACGCCCTGAAGAAAACCAAAAACACTCTGCTGAGACATGGAACTATGTGGATGACCAAAGGCAGGGGCACCTGTGATGCTCCATCCCGGGCCTCACCCCGGGCCAATGTGCTGTCTGTGCTGACGGAAGGAGATAGGGATCCAGCCAGGATGGAGGGTGATGTCAGGCAGAGGGGGCCTGAGAGGTGCAGGCAAGGCTGCTGCAGGCCAGCTGTGGACTGTGGTTCCTTCTGTCTCGAGCTTCAGGGGCCAGCCTGCTGGGTCAGGACTATCACTGTAGGGGAAAGAGAGGCAGAGACAGAGAAACAGAGAGGGGCACAAAGATGGAGATGGTGAGGCAGACAGAGACACATGGGGCGGTGGGGGTGAGAAAGGAGACAGAAAGAGACAGAGACAGCGGCTTTCCTAAGCACAACATACCCAGGACCCAGGTGGCTGCCGTCCTCAACTGAACCTCTGCTTGTGTCTTCAAAGCTGTATGGCACCAGTCACCACTGGACTGTAAAGCCCAGAGCTGGCTAACCCTCACCTACAGGTTGCTGCTGATTCTGCAGCTGAGGCCCAGGCTCAGAATGTCCAGGAAGCTGGCATTGGTCTCAGGTATTAGCCCAGCCCTTGGGGCAGAGGTGAGGATGGGAGAAGACCCCAACTGTCAGCCCCAGGCTGCAGCAGGAGCACGGCAGGCTCTGGCTCCAGCCCTGCCTCTGGGCTAGTCTCCCTCCCACTGGGGCTCTGAGGTCATGTGGATAGGCCACCACTCCACCCTGCCCCAGTGGTACCTGCAGCAGCATGCTGAGGCCCAAGTTGCGGTGCTTCTTCTCCAGCTCTGACACAGCCTGCAACAGGGACCGGAAGCGCTCTGCTGGGTCAGCTTGCTCATCGTCCTCGGAGGTGCCCTCATCCTTCTCAGCCTCCTGCAAAAAGTGCTCCTCCTCTTCCGCAAAAAAAGCCCGCAGCTTCTTGTAGTCGGTCAGGGCCTTCTTTCTTCGGTCCATAACATGGCCCTGCAGGTTGAACAGATGGGACATGGTGTCACCCCAGCCCACCCCCACTGCTAGCAAGTCCAAAGAGAACCCTGTTCTCTCTAAAAGGAACTAAGAAATATGATACCCCAAAATATGTTGCCTGGGTATTCTGGATTCAAGTACTTCAAAAATAGCAAGTGAGAAGATTATGACGTCCCTGTTTTCCAAAGTGAAATTTCCAGTTTGGAAGATGCCCCTCTGTCGCCCCCATGGTGATGTGAGCTTGGTCCCACTGTGGTGAAGTAGAGAGGACAGGGCCCTTAAGAGGCAGAGCCTAGGGGAAGCGGTTAGGTCACTGGGGGTGTGCCCTCGGAGGGGTTAACGGAGGTTTGACAGGGCACCAGCTGGTCCCCAAGGCAGCAAGCTGTTACAGAGCACTCTCAGGCTGTGGCTTCTGCCTCACCCCCACCAGAGACCAGCAAATCGAGCCTCCTGATCTCTGACTTTCAGCCTGGGACGTGGAGCTAATGAAATTATCTTCTTTACACCAGTACTTAGACTTGGGTATTTTTTATTACAGCAACAGAAAACAGGCTAATACACCCTCTCCCTGTACCAAAATGAAGGACATCTCACCATCAAGGACAGAAGACTGGGACAGTTCCACACAGACCTTGTTAAAATGACTCTTCTATGAGCCCCAACTTAAATCTCCTTTTCACAACATGCAGTTTTCTGTCAGACGCAGCATATTAGTTTAGATTCTGGCTGCTGCTTTCAGTTTGTTTCCTCATGAGGCCTCCCATGCTACTGAATTTGTATCACTGAATGTGTATGCTTGTCTCCTGTTGAGCCATCTTATGCCAATTCAATTCCAGAGCCCAGCCTGGGACTCTGAGAAGCACTGCTTGGTTTCCCTTGCAATGCTGTTCACACTCAAGTCCCTTCTACAAAATAGCACACCATGTGCGCATAACCTACCTGCACCCTTCCACGTGTTCAAAATCATCTCTAGGTAACATAGCATCTAATACAATGTAAATACTATGTGAAGAGTTATTTACCATACCGTGAGAAAAAGAGAAGTCTACACTTGTTAGTACAACCACACAACCATCTCAGGCCTACTGTTTGCGCTTTTTTGTTTTGCGTGATCCTAGGGATTGAATTTAGAGACTTTCACAGGCTGGACAAAACTTACACCACCAATCACATTCCCAGGACCCCAATTACATTTCCGACTAGAGGTTTAAGTCCTCAGACAGAGAACCACAAATACAGTGCTTAGTTAGTTACATGTAAAAACCTTCCCACCTCTGAACCCTATGGGTCTGTCTAGGACTAACATCCTGTCAGAAAACACAGCCATCTTTCCAGCCACTTTTCCCGATTTAACATTCAGATAAAAAAAAAAATCCATCCATCACCTTTCAACCAATGCCTAACCCAGACAAAAGGGTAGAAAAGGACACCCCTCCTGACTTCACCCAAATCTTCATCTAGACCTGACCTACAGGATGCAGGACTGCAGAAATCATGGTTGTTGGAGTTTGCTGAAAGGATATAAATGCTTTGTCTGGCCAGCTCTCCCTTTGCATACAGGACTTGACCTTCACATTAAAAGCCCTTATCTGCTAGAACTTGTCCTTGGGATGATACTGGGCGGTTAGAAAGCTGAAGTCCCCAAAACCTTCCAGAATCACCTGCACTCAGGGGCTTGTACTGTTCAGAAAGGCTACGGAGGGCAGCATGTGCTGTCAGGGTCTGACTGGCATTGCGTACCCCATCTATCACCTATGACTGTCTAAGGGAGGTCACAGGGGAGTTCAGAAGGCAAAACCCCATGGGGAAGGCCTAGACCGAAGCAGTCTCTACGTTGTCCTGCCCTCCTCTATCTAGAACCCCTCCTCCTCAAAGCCCAAAGGATGACTCTGACCTCCACTTGTATCTTGGAGCTGGTCAGTAACTCTCTGACCCACCCATCTCACAGGAGATCCTAAGACCACAATACAGAAGGACACTGCCCCAAGCCTGGGAAGAAGCTAAACAGCCTGCACAGGCAGCTGTGAGAGTCCCTGGCCTGCTGGAGACCGAGCTCACCTTCAGTCCAATCCTGTTCTACATGGTTGATCCTGCTCAGTACATCCCAGAGCCTCAGGCCTGTGAGGTGAAGACTCGATCAGCAACGCGGTAAACCTGTTCTGCTTTTCCCTGCCTAGCCTGTCCTCTAACACCAGGGTGTCAGCCATGATTCATATGGACAGGATGTGCTTCTACTTGTACCTCAGGCCTCCATGAAGAAGTCAAAGGTCGAGTTTAACCCACAGGACAGAGCACTGCAATGGAGTTAGGACATGGCTTCATTGAAAGCCATCTGAGGGCTTCAGACCTCTCAGTCACCCAGTGTGCCATGGTTTTATATTTTAAAAAGAGGTGGATGGGTGTTGCAGAAACTGTTACAGATTTTAGTGTACAGAAGGAAAACTACACCAGAGCTAATGCTTGGTATTGTTGGCAAGTAACCTCAACTGTACTATGGCAGCACCTTGGTGTCTAACACCATGGAAGGAACCAGAGGAAAGCAAGGTGCTAAGCACTGACTTTGTGTCCCCCTAAGTCCCTTGCTGAAATCTTCACCCCCAGGTAATAGTGTCCATTGGTGGGCCTTTGGAAGGTGGTTAGGTCACCAGGGAGGGCTTACATGATGAGTCATCAGTACTCTAAGAGGAACCCCAGAGTGCCTGTCCCTTCCTCCATGTGAGGTCACAGAAGGGGCCACCTCTAAACCATAAAACAGTCTCACCAGACATGGAATCTCCACAGCTTGACCTTGGACTTTCGTTTCCAGAAACATAGGTGCCTGTGTTTTGTTTTGTTTTTTTTAACAGCAGCCAGGAAACTTAGCAAGTTCCTCTGGTAAATAACCACTGTTCTCAGAATCAAGAGTAATACAAAATGTCCTATGTAGAGAAGGAAGCTGGACTTTACCCTGCTGACCTACAGCTAGATCACATCCTAGAAAAATACTCTGGATTTAAGATTAAGTCCACACAGAAGCCCCTCCTCCAGCCAGCCGAGCAGATGCCCAGTTCCCAGCATCCAGTTAAACACTTGCCTTCCACACAGCAGCCGCTGACTCTGCCTGCCCATGCAGGTCCCGGGCATCGTTTAAGTCCTTCCTCATGATTTCCACGGACCCCTTATTCTCCTGGTAGAGAGAAGCTGGTTACAGGGGGTGGGCAGAAGGCTCTAGACACCCATATCACTAGCCCAGACACACCTGCCACTTCCACTACTAATAGTAGGTTCTGTCCAATGGCAGGTGTCACATGCAATGGCCAAGACAGCATGGCAGAAAAGATTCTAGAATGGGGTGGAAAGGTAGTTGGCAGGCAGGAGCTCAAACTCAGGGCTTCACCACCAAGGAGGGAGGTCGGGCCTGCCTCAATGAAGTCATTCCCCGGTAGGAGGGGAGCTGATCTATGCAAAGAAGAGGCGGGAGAGGTTGGGGGGCGGCGGAAAGGTTAGGCAGACCAGACAAAACTCCCAGAGGCGATACAAAGGGGGGGGGGGCACAATAGTCTGGAGGCGGGGTGGAGGCGGAGTAAGAGGATAGGGTACAGGCAGGCCAGAGACCTGGTAAGGTGGGGACAGGGAGCTCTAGACGTGGAAATTGGGAAACACAGCAGGGTCCAGGAGAGATGGGGGGAGCACGACAGAACTTACGGACCCCAGGAGGCGAGGGCTCCGGGGACCACAGGAACCCCGGAGCGGAGAAGGTACAAGAAAGCCGTAGGGCACTGGGGATCCGGGCTGGGAAGGGCGCAGGACACGGGAGGGGCCCGGGGCAGGGAAGGGGTCGGAGCACTGGAGACGCTCCCGGGATAGCTCGGCCCCGGGCTGGGCAGAACGCAAGGCGCAGCCGCCCCGCCCGCGCACCTTGCCGCGCAGCGCCTTCCTCCACCGCGGCTCCCACTCGGGCGGCTCCGGGCCGGCGGCCATGCGACAGGCGGCGCACAGCGGGTCCCCGTCCGCGCGGCACAGCAGCTGCAGCGCCGCCTCGCTGGCCG